TCAACACATAACATATATATATATATATATATATATATATATTCATATATACACTGTGAGCTTTTGTTAGAAACAAATATTTTTTTAGAAAACATGAACTAAAGTTTATTTTATTGTTTACAGACTTAAAATAATAATGTAGAAATGGTATACACTCACATGCATATATAATATTTAGGACAAGATTAAAACAGTCACAAAATATGAATTCAGATCTAAGTATACCCGTAGAGTTCCCATCTGTGCTTCCAGACTAAACCTGTCCCCAGCGAGGTCAGGATCACACCATGACACTTTCTCAGAATATGCAGTTAGCCACCTCTGGAACTCCTGCAGTCCACTCTGATAGTGACGCTCCAGTACAGAGAAGAGGTTAGAATTAACTTTGGCTGCTTGGTTCTTTACTGTTTCATACCTATTTTAAAATTGGACATAATCACAACAGAACATTTTCAGAGTACCACACATGATTGTGAAACATTTATGGAATGATTGAATAAGTGCATGTTTAACATATCTAAAATAAAACCCATGTAATATATATCATATCACAACAGAACATTTTCAGAGTACCACACATGACTGTGAAAGATTTATGGAATGATTGAATAAGTTCATGTTTAATATATCTAAAATAAAACCCATGTAATATATATCATATCACAACAGAACATTTTCAGGGTACCACACATGATTGTGAAACATTTATGGAATGATTGTATAAGTGCATGTTTAATATATCTAAAATAAAACTCACATAATATATATCACAGTATTAAACCTAGAAGGAGATAAACAAAAAACTTTCATCTTTATTATAATAAATGTTTTCTTTCCTAATAATGTGGCCGTAGCTTATCAGTTTTAATGTGGTAAGGTTTGAGGGCTGGATAGAAACAAACAAATAAATCATTCTAAGTCTAAATCTTTAAGAGACTAATTACAAACCTTTTCTGAAGGTTAGACAGTTCTTTCTGCAGCCCACTGGTATCTAAAGATGAATGATTCTGCTGAAGTGTATGGATATTTGTCTCTATCTGTTCCAGCTTTTTGTAGTAGGTATTCATTTCTTCTCCTAATTTCTGTTTTAATGTTTAAATAACAACTTAGTCAAGTGAAAACAGAATACAACTGATTTTGTTTTAATGTTTAAATAACTTAATCAAGTGAATACAGAATACAACTGATTCTCTTTTGATGTTTAAATAACAACTTAATCAAGTGAAAACATAATACAACTGATTCTGTTTTAATGATCAAATAACAACTTAATCAAGTGAAAACATAATACAACTGATTCTGTTTTAATGTTTAAATAACAACTTAATCAAGTGAAAACATAATACAACTGATTCTAGTGGTTTTTT